TATGTATAAATATAGAGTGGTAAGTCTCTTAGAAAGTAAATGAAGGCGCAAACCTACGCCTTATGATACATTGGAAATAAACGAGAGAAACAGGAAGATAATAATGAGGGAAAGGCAGGGACGTAGACCGAATAGCCAAATTTGGTTTGCTGTCCTACGCTAAGGGGAGAAGAAAAGAATTGCGGCACCTTGAAGTTTTCCCTTTAGGAGTCGAACGCGATAGCGATTTCCAGTTCTCAGTGTGTACTTCAAACGCTTAGTGCATTAAACCTTTTCGATCTTGCTATGCATTCACTACGTGTTCCTTAAGGAAACAGGCACACTAGCGTGTGTTTTCTGTAGTGGGTGACCGGTTTTAAACCCCGATGTCATTATGATAATTACGTGTTTTGACGCCCGCTGGCAATAGACGCTTGTATACCACGCAATGTTGCTGCAAAATGTGATGTTGTATTGTAAAGGATGTATACAGGACACGTGCGTTTGTAAGTTATGAGCTACTTTCCCTGCTTTTTCAAGCAGAGGAAGCCAATTTCACTGTATTCGCAAGGGGGCGCGTGGCCGTGTGATAGAAGAACCACTTGTCACGTAAACGACACCGTTTGACCCTCACTTAGACTCGAAAACGTTAGTTCGATTAGAACTCCGGCCTAGGATTTTTTATATTTTATTTTATTTGCAATGTTCTCGTTTGTTTGGTCACGCATAAGATGGTTTTTCGCTCACAACAACGACACCGAGGCCGACACTCACGTCAAAATTTCTGCGAAACGAGTTCTTAACGCCATCGCCTTAATAAGATCTAAAAAAGAACAAAAATAACAAAGCAAGCGAGGAAAAAAAAAACGGCGAAAAGTTCATTGCTCACGCTCCGTACCTCGCGAACACAAAGTGGACTGTCTTCATCGGAGCTTCTTGACAGTTTATTTTTGTCCCTTTTTATTCTTATCGGCCACGCTACAACGCGTATTTTATCCTTTAGTTCGGGGTTGCTGCATGCTGAAGCGCTAGTGGAGAAAAATAACGCAATATATGACATTCTGAGGGAAGAAAAGTTGAAAAAAAGAAAGGAAAAATTGGATCGCACTAAAAAACACATAGGCGAGGTGGCCGGAAGGGATGGTTGGGCGATGGTCGAGACGTGTTCTAAAATGGTTCCGCCTTGCCGCAGCGTGTTCTCGTTTGAGGAAGCGCTGTTTTTTGCCAGAGACGTCGGAAGCATCCGGGCAATCCCCGATGCGGACCATCACGTGACGGATAGGACCCTTGGGTACTTTAGGTCTCCGACTCGGACGGTTCCTGGCTCCTCCGAACCAGCCCCTTCTACTGCACCCATTGCATGCCAGCTTTTTGTTTTGTTTTTCGACGCGTTATGCACCCCTCGACTCAGTTGTTCATCTCGGTCTTGTTTTTCTGTTTTTATTTTGTATATAGCTAGTATTTGCGTTTGGCGCCGTTTGCGGAGACGTTCTCATTGTAGCCCACACGCGGTTATTTTATAACATGTAAACGTATCTTTACTTTCTCGGCAACAAAGCAGCAACTTTCAGAAATCCCCCAATTTGTTGCCTTTGCCTTCATTACGTATTATAAATCGCTTGTCTGCTCTGCCTGTAACTATCTGCACAGCACCTGGCGGTCTTCATTTTCTGCTTATCTGATGGCACCTTTCAACGTGCTGATTACGTTCTGATGTCTTTTATTATCTATCTATTGGTTTTTATCACCATATTTTGAAACAACGGTTATCCTTCGCTAAACGAAAAAGATCAGCCACTGACTCGTTAAGGCGCAGACGTTTGCTTTTACATAACGCCAATAAACTAAACAGTCACTATAGATTATGACAACTTTTTATTCAACTTGATAAACAAAAAGACGAAAAAAAACCGTTGTCGCTTATGCCTTTGCTGGAGACAATATTTCCTTCTCAATCGATGTATTTCATTGATCCTTCCTTGCCCCCCTTTGAAAGCTTTCTGCAGCCAACATGATTTAGCACGGCCTCTGCAATCGGAGAGCTTTCTGTACGTGACCTGGTTATGCACTACCTCTGTGGTCGACCTACTTATAGCATGTGACGACATCATATGATGAAGTCACTGCATGACGTCACTTTTTGTTGCGTAAGACATAAGTTATTGCGGTATGTCACGTCTAGTTGGTGTCAATATGGGGACGTGATCACTTGATGCTGATTTGTTTCGTCTATCGTTTTCACAAGGACGTCGAAAGTCAGTTTTCGCTTTTGATGAGGCATCGAAAGCTTTCACATTACGATCTAGTGGCTAAGGTACTTGGCTGCTGACCAGCAGGTCGCGAGATCGCATGCCGGCTGCGGCGGCTGCATTTTCGATGGAGGCGGAAATGTTGTAGGCCCGTGTGCTGTAACATAATTCAATGTAACATAAGTCTATCGATTGGAAAAATAAACACGAACTTCCATTGTTATTAAAACACCAAGAGCAATGCACAGCTTGACATCACGTGACTACGTAAAGCTACTGACACCACAGTGGCATTTATCCAAGAAAAAGACAGATATCACGAAAAGCTTAAATAAAAATGTGACGAAGTAGTTATATTGAACGCGTTAAAGAAAAGCACTAAGATTCATCGTCAACGCCTACAGCAGGGATGCATCCATTACCAACCTGAGACATTTAAGCAAGCTTCCATCTCTAGAATCTCGCAGGAAACTGCCCCGCCGCGGTGGTCTAGTGGCTAAGGTACTCGGCTGCTGACCCGCAGGTCGCGAGATTGAATCCCGGCGGCGGCGGGGCATTTCCCATGGAGGCGGAAGTGTTGTAGGCCCGTCTGCTCAGATTTGAGCGCACGTTAAAGAACCCCAAGTGGTCGAAATTTCCGGAGCCCTCCACTATGGCGTCTCTCATAAGGTAGTTTTAGGACTTTAAACCCCGCAAATCAATCAATCAATCAATCAATCAATCAATCAATGCAGCTGTTCTTTAAGAATGAGCTAGTGTTTTTTTATTTTATTTATTTATTTATTGGTACTGCGATCTTTTACAAGATCATAGCAGGGGTGGTACAAAACATAAACATAAACATCAGTGGAAACAGGCAAACAAACAATAAAAAAACTAAATGTAATACAAACTTATGTAACTGATAGCTACAGTGATTCTTCGAGACAAGAGAATCAACAAAAAGCAAGGTACAAACATAGATAACAATCATTTCTGCAGTGACTCTTCATATGCAGACAGTGTATTTAGGGTAACAACATCGTTATGTAGATTGTTCCAATCCACGATAGTCCTCGGAAAAAAAGAATATTTGAAACAATTTGTTCGTTGCATCAATGGAGAGATAGTAAGATTGTGTCTCTGTCTTGTTCCGTAACCCAATGAAAAGTGAACGATATGTGATGTGTCAACTGCATAGTGACCTTTTATTAACTGGAAAAGAAATTTTAAGCGCAATATTCGATTTTGGTCCGGAATGTTTGGAAATTTGCTTTTCAAGAGAAGTTTTGTAATCGAAGTAGGACCGTACGAGTTATAAATGAACCTAACAACTTTTGTTTGCACCCTTTCAAGTTTTTGGATATCAGTCTGAGTGAACGGGTCCCATATGACCACAGCATACTCCAGTATAGGACGGATAATGACATTATAAGCGAGGAGACGAATACTTGGTGTGGTTGATCTCAAAGAACGCCTTAGGAAAAAAAAAGTTTACGGAGAGATTTAGCTACTACAAAATCTATGTGCTTTGACCAGGATAGATTTTTTGTAATCCAGAGACCAAGGTACTTGTATTGAGTTACTTCTGACAAAATTGTATTGTTGGTGGAGTACTGGAACAAAAGAGGGTCTTTTTTAAGGGAAATTCTCATAAAAACTGTTTTAGCAAAATTAACAGGCATCTGCCATTTGTCACACCACGAAATTACTTTTAGAAAGTTCCGATTTAGTTTAATTTGATCGTCAACTGAGGGGATCTTTTCAGATAAGACACAGTCGTCGGCGTACAACCTAATGTGAACAGAAAGGTCAGTAACGATATCATTTATATATAACAGAAAAAATGTTAACCATTACTAGTGGTCATACAAGCTACTATTCGGCTACATACAAGCGACCTCAACGTAAACAAACGGGAGTATCTGTTCACTTGGACCATGATGTTTTATATCATCGTTCATGAACAAAGACACCATTTATACCAACATTGAATCTGGTAAGATGGATCGAGTGTCTGCCTTTGCACGGTTGTTGGTGTACGTCATTTTGTATCATTGTAACATACATATTGTATCATTTTGTAACATACATTAACATGTAGCATGTTATTGTATGTCATTTTGTATGTTGTTATTGTATCGAATTTTCTTCTTCCTTTCCGCTTTCTTTTCCCACAGATTACATTAAATGCATCTGCCCCCTGGATTCAATTGACTTGGCCTGTTAATTTACACAGAGATCTTTGAACTCAAACGAACCGCTTGAAATATAGCGGTTATACATTCAAGTTGCGCTCTCGCTGGCACCATGGCGCCATTGTGGCAAGAATATTTTTGTGACTCGACGACCACGCAGGAAGTTCAGCTGCCGAAACAACGGAGCAAATTAAATGCAGGGTTATGCTAGGCACGCTCTACACAATGAGTGTTCCGCACACAAACGTGACAGCGAAAGCATCACATGTGACAGGATCACAAGCCAGCTGCGGCGGCTGCATTTTTTGATGGAGGTGAAAATGCTCTAGGCCCTTGTGCCCAGATTTGGGTCCACGTTAAAAAAAAGCACAGGTGGTTGATATTTCTCCAGCCCTCCACCACGGTGTCTCTCATAATTTTATGGTGCTTTCGGGACGTTATACCACACATATTGATTAATCAATCAGTCAATGCAAGATTTACACTAACAAGTGAACAAACAAATAATTTGTTGAGATGGGTGTTTTGTGCAACAACAAATTGTCGGGTGCCCAAGAAGCTTCACATTTTGTTCTTCTTGTCTCGTTCAGGGGTTCGTGGCAACAAGGCCGCTGGAACGTCGCAGACAGAGCCCGAGTTTGCCGAGCCGATCCAGAACATCACCGTGCCGGCAGGACGCAAAGTCACACTTGCCTGCGTCGTGGAGAACCTCAACAACTACAGGGTCAGTGCACGCCTACCTGTTCTGAGGCAGCCAGCCACTCTCGACCATATTAACTCGGCTCCGTTGGTATTTCACTGCAATATTAAATATATGGGCAACATTTATTTTTATTGGAAGGATGGACCTTGCCTGTAAATGAGTTTGGAAAGAACCAGGTGACCAAAAGAACCAGAACCAGAAGAATCAGTAATAACCAGATGGTTTGTTGTTAAAAAAAAATTGCAACCCGAGTGCATCTTTAAGCCATGACGCTTGGTAATGTCGGCGCGTATTGGCTGACGGAAACATATTTCGCAATTACTTCCGATTTCCGTGCCCAATTTGCTGTACGTGTGTTAAAAACGCTGAGCACAGTTTAATATAGGGCTAACAATATAAGGTTTAATTTAAGGCTAATAACATAAGCGCAGCCGAACGGTCGTTTCGCGATGTGCCATGGTGAAAACAATTTTGTTGGGAGGGGGCTTGGGGCCAATGTGCCACCACCTGGCTACGCCACTGCTTTGCATAGAAGCGCAAGAAGCGATGTCACCTCTGTGTTACACACGGCATGAGCGAACGAGTGCTTCGCGTGCTAACCCTTGTTGGTTGTTACTGGTGCGAATTCGTTCGTATGCAGTGCGACAGCGCGTTATTATGCTCTCGTTTGAAGCGAGACTGTGAGCTGCATGGTAAACGACGTGAACAACGCTCGTTCGCTGACAAAGACCTGAAGAGCCCCTTTATGGCGTTATTATTGATTCGGGCACACGAGATTCCTCTTTCTAAATGGCATCGTTCATATTTTCACTAAGCGCTATTTCAGTGAGAAGCTGTCGCATTGAAATGATACCATGATTGCACTTTGAAATGGTCTTGCCCATCGAGACAGTTACATAGAAAATAAGTCGTTCAATAACAGGAATAAAACAACAAAAATAGATGGGCGGAAGCGGAAAAGACCAGAAGAAAAGAGCGGAAGTCGTTAAGAGGGGGTAACGACAGAATCGACATTATGTGGGAGGAAATGGTAATAAATATAAAAAACGTTGCTGATGACCGTGAAGACTGGGTGAATCAAATTGTCGAAACGGAACACATAGAATAGTGCGGCACGTTCAAGATGCCCGGCGAAGATTTTTCAAGAAGCCAACACTTAAAACAGTTCTGGCTGAAAGGAAGAACAAGCTATTGCAGCGAATGAGACCCGTTTGACAATATCACCCCGCTTTCCGAACCCATGCGAGGCAATCAATATTTTGACCGGAAAAATAAGCTCGGTCCGAGGTCGCCTGGGGAAACCCAGAGAGCTCCCCGACAATGGCGCGACGATGCACTTGCGTTGTGTGTTTGTGCGTGCGTGTCATAAGTTGGACCTCTTTGGAACACACATAGCGCAGAAGAGAGAGAAAGGGCGAGAGAACCGTTTTAGAAAAACGCGCGGAGGACGGTGGTCGTGGTGGCGGCAGTAACAAAGCGCCCAGACACTGACAAAGAAGCCATTTCGTAGGCGCCAATTTTTGTCGTTGCTTCGATTTTTGGTGTACTGTTCATTTCTTTCTCTCAATTTTTGAAGTTTTCTGATTTCGCAACCCCATTTTATTTTATTTTTTTTTTTTTGTTGGGGATACGCACAAGCATGCTCAGGGTCCGGATAAAGCAGGCCGGAACGAGAGAAGGTAAAAGAAGGACGCAATCATCGCACACGGAGAAACGGGATTCTTTTAGGCTGCGTGAAAACGCAATTGAGAAAGGGACTCTTTCGTACGGCGTCTATGACTTGGAAGACCTGTATAGCCCAAATTGAAGACTCCCACTCTCCTCCCGCACATTCCCGTACAACGTTGACCCGATTCTCTATCTTTCTCACTGATTTTTTTTCTTCCTGCGTGTATCTTAATAGAACTGAAAAGAGAAATAAGGAAGGAGAATTTTTGGGTGGTGACCGTCGCCTTGAATGGGCAAACGGTGCAGCCGTCGGCGAAGGGATAAAATAAAGTGTCGGGACAGCTACGGATGAAGTCGAGATAAAAAAGTGAAGCGAGATTGGGAATATGTTTAGCACCAATAACCAAATAAACTGAAACGTAACGCGAAGGCGCTATAGAAACAGAAAAGGCTAAGCAAAAAGTACAAGCGAAGATAAACAATTTCGCGCGTACAACTCATTGAAAAAAAAACTACGTAAGAAAACGAGAGTAGTAAAGGATTTGGTGTATGAACGCGGAGCTCATTTATGAGCATCGATATGGCGGGAAGTGAACAGCCAGCAAGCGCCGATGAGAGGCAGCGGCACCTTCTGTTTCGCAGCAAACGACGCCCATGTTCTTAAGCAGGCCCGAAGCGCATGATCCGACTGCTGTAGTGGTGACGGCCAATTTCTGCTAGCCGGGCTTTGACGATCGGGCTAAAGTGTACACATGCGTTGCCCCTGCGATCTCCACAATGAGTTGCGATACAGGGTTCCGCACGTATACATCCGAAGAAATGAACCAAAGAAAGCAAACTTGGCAGTGTGTGTGCGTGGCACGGTTGCTCCGCTTCCGTTCTGTCTTAGAATTGCTCCGTGTCGTAGAGTGCGAGTCCATTCGAGACTCGGTTGAGAAGATAGCCGGAATGGGAAGTAAGAAGCGTTCGAAGAGGGGAGAAGGAGTAAGACGAGAGAGAGGGGTGACGGAGAAGAAAAGACTTGACGAGTAAGTAGGCAGCTTCGGTGTCGAAGCCATTTCTCGTCATTTCCATATTATTTTTGTAGTGTTGCAACCATATTGACGCGAAGTGTTTAGAATTGCGCGAAGAGCAGCAGTCATTTTCAATGCAACAAGGCCGGAAGAAAGCTTTAACACCTAGCATTGGAGTAGTATGATAATTTTAAATGTTTATAGAATAGTGTAAGAGGACACATGTGCTTTGTACGACGAATTCGTTGTATTTAGTAAAAGTAGACCTAGGTTATGCCGTAATTGAAGAGTTGAATGCAGCATGCTAGAATTTAAGCAGAGTACTTAAGAAACGTCCAATTTGTAATGGTCTGAGAGCGTCACTTTGAACTCGGCATATTGGCATTTTCTAGTGCTGAAAGAAGCGTCCACTCCTGAACCCTCCCAGCCGACAGCTCTTTTGGACACGTTTTCATCGCTTTTACTGTAACTTCCTACGTATACAACCAAGTGCTGTAAACCTATCCTTATTCGTATTTGTCTGATTTTCGCTCGCGCCTATCGCTGTTTGTTTTTGTGCGCCACTTGGAAACAATAGTTAGTCACCTACGCGTTTTGCCGGGAGCCTTCTACTTCCAGTGGTCGGCGCTCCAGTGTACTTCGCAGGCGCAAGTCGGGTTCGGTACTCGTGACCCAAGACGGCAATAGAACGCTATCCCAGCACGCCGTAAGCTGCTCAGTGCAGCGTTATGGCACGAGATCGCCTGGGCGGCCTACACTCGCCCCCCCCCCCCCATAGATTCAGTTCATCGCGTTAATTTGACTACCAAATGAGCGCCATAGCCGAACACCATCCACTACTCAAACACGAAAGAGCTGCTACCTCTTCTTCACTCGGCCTCGGAAAGCAGTCTTCACCCCTTGCCAAGGCATCGTCGTTGTCGTAGTCGTGCTTGCTTCCTTCTTTCTTTCTTTCTCGTCATTTTCCTCGCCTCCCATGCCTGTTCAACCGTGGCTCCCACATCATCGTCGCGGAGTTTGCGTGCCTCCGTAGCTTTCTCCTTCTCGCGCCCCCATCGCGTGCTTTAGAAGGAAAGGAGCAGGGCGGAGAGAGAGGAATGGATTGACTTTATGGCAACACGGGAGCCCAGTCAAGCGCGCAGTTTGCGCTCGCCTATTGACATACGACGCACGAGTATATGTACAACTTATATTTATATATAACAGTTTATATATATGTACAGTTTATATATATATATATATATATATATATATATATATATATATATATATATATATATATATATATATATATATATATATTTATTTATTTATTTATTTATATATATATATATATATATATATATATAAATCAACGTTTCTAATGCTGGTGACAGCTTAGCTCCTAGCGCCTCACATGTCAAGATACTCAGAAGCCATGTAGATAATTCCATACAACTGCTTCTCAATATTACAGCGCTGACCTACAAGCTTCACGGCTGTGACGTGACTTGCAAGGAGAATAGGGCCGTGCCATTGTTAACTATGTAAGAGCTTACAAAATCACTCAAGACACTGCAATTCCATAGCAAGAAGAATATGTCAAGACAGAAACGGAGTGCTGACCGCAAGAATAGCGCTTAGTCATAACGCTGATTTCTCATTAATATATGGACTGCTTGAAGAAGTGTTATTTGATGCTGTATCGTGCAGTAGACGGACTGCTCGATACAGCTTCGACTGACCATACAGCATCTTCACCAGATGTCAAAGGGTCGTGACGCCGTCTTAGCGAATTGCAAAATACAATAGCCAGGTCAATAAATAGCACGCCAGCTTGGTCTGAGTGAGTGTATTACACTCAGACCAAGCTGGCGTTTAGTGGTAATGTATTAAACTCTGAACAGAGACGAGACATAATAAGTAGTATTCCGCTCCCGTTATGCCAAGTGTGATAAATAGGATCGCAAATTCAACTTTTTTGTGGAAAAATAAAAAAAACCAGAGAACATTAGGTATTTAGAAGTATTATTGGGCTGCCATCTAAACTGGAGCCACACAAATCTAATATATACACCAAATTTGCGTTTGCTTGCTTTTCGATAATAAAATGCAGAAAACGTCCTAATCTTAAAGTACTGATAATTGTTTCATTTTCGATATTTCTCTGGCACATTATATATTGTTCTGAATTATGATATGGTGTATATAAAATATATTTAGACCCTATACTTCAATTCATTTACAAGAGAGTGCCTTGCGCATTATGACATACACACTGCACGGTGATAATACCTTGCTTTACAATCAATTCCATATGCTACCATTCTCCATGAGAACTAATATGAAAGGGGTCATTCC